TGGAGAGCGTGCACGTGCCTCGTTGGACACAGTGCAAGGGATCAAACAGTGACCTGGAGGTGCACGGCTTCGCAGACGCCTCCGAGCGAGCATACGCTGCGGTGGTGTACCTCCGCACCAGAGGAGTGGAGGGCGAGCGCCGTGTTTTCTTGTTGCAGGCGAAAACCAAGGTGGCCCCTGCGCAGCCGGTCTCGCTGCCAAGGCTCGAGTTGTGCGCGGCGGCGCTTCTTGCCAAGCTGACAGCGCACGTCGTCAAGGTCATGGACATCGCGTCCGCTCCTCTTCACCTCTGGTCGGACTCCACAGTGACGCTGGCGTGGATTCAGAGTCACCCGTCGCGCTGGAAAACTTATGTGGCCAACAGGGTCGCCGACATCCAGCGAAGGCTCCCCAACGCCCAATGGCATCATGTGTCCGGAGCAGAGAACCCAGCAGACTGCGCGTCACGAGGCTTGTCTCCCAGCGACCTGCCGGATCATGGGCTGTGGTGGAGCGGGCCGCCCTGGCTGTCTGGAGACGCCACGCTTCCTGCGAGCACGCCGCTGCCGATGGGTGACCCGCAGGAGGAGAGGCGTCAGGTGCATCTTGCAGCGGTCCAATCAGCCGAGGAATGTCCAATGCTGCGACGATTCTCAGTGCTGCAGCGGCTGCTGAGGGTAACTGCGTGGTGCTGCCGTTGGCTCGGCGAGCGGCGCGTTCCATACACCCCGATGTCCGCGCTGTCGCCTCAGGAACTCGAGGCGGCCCGACTTCGCTGGATCCGTCATGTGCAGTCCTGGGAATTCGCGGAAGAGCGGCGAGCGCTGTCAAGGGGCGTGGCAGTCCCGCGAAGAAGCGTCCTCGCTAGGCTGGATCCATTCGTGGACAGGAATGGCGTCATCAGAGTCGGTGGTCGGCTCAAACACGCTGTTTTGAACCCGGATGAAAGGCACCCGATCATCCTCCCCAGGAGGTCGCACTTCGCCGTCCTGGTGATTCGGGAGTGCCACCGCCGAGCCATGCACGGCGGAGTGCAGCTGACTCTGGGGATGGTCAGGCAAGGATACTGGATTCCGGGAGGACGCCTGGAGGTTCGACGCCACATTCATCGCTGCGTCACTTGCTTGCGATGGCGGGCGGCGTCCCCGAATCCTATGATGGGACAACTACCACCGCCGCGGGTAACAGCATCGCGTCCCTTCAGCCAAGCGGGAGTCGACTATGCGGGCCCGGTCCAGGTTCGGACAGCAGCAGGTCGAGGACACAAGGCGCACAAGGCCTTTTTGGCCATCTTTGTGTGCTTTGCAACAAGGGCTGTGCACATCGAGCTGGTGTCCAGTTATGCCACGGATGCCTTCCTAGCGGCTTTCCGGCGCTTTGTCTCACGCCGCGGAATGTGCCGCACGCTGTACAGCGATCGGGGGACCAATTTTGTCGGTGCTGATGCCCAGCTTCGAGCGATGTTCCAGGAGGCTGTGCGCGAAAGCCCGCGCATCGCCGACATCCTTGCCTCCGAAGGGGTGGAGTGGCGGTTCAACCCTCCGGCTGCACCCCACTTTGGCGGCCTGTGGGAAGCAGCCGTAAAGTCGATCAAACACCACCTCAGGAGAGTTATAGGAGAATCAACACTCACCTTCGAGGAGCTAAGCACTGTTCTTGCACAGATTGAGGCATGCCTCAACTCTCGTCCTTTGCAGGCCATATCGGATGACCCGGAGGACGTCTCGGCCTTGACGCCAGGCCATTTCTTGATTGGAGCCGCTTTGACATCGCTGCCTGAGCCGTCGCTGACATCGGAGCCTCTCAACAGGCTCACGCGGTGGCAGCTGCTACAACGAATGAGGGATGACTTCTGGTCACGGTGGTCCAAGGAATACCTGCAGTCACTCACCTCGCGTGTGAAATGGTGGAGGAAAAACATCAACCCGACCGTTGGCGACCTGTGTCTTATCCGCGGAGAGAACTTTCCGCCGAGCAGGTGGCCGTTGGCTCGAATCACCGAGGTTCATCCTGGTGCTGATGGACAGGTGCGCGTGGTCAGCTTGCGGACAGCCACGACGACGTTGGCCAGACCGGTGGTCAAGGTCATCCTCCTGCCGAGGGCAGACACGGAACCTGAGGACCAACCAGCTGATGAGTAGCCGAGACGACCGGGCCGCGACATGACTTACCTCGACATTCAATACCACATGAGCAGGCGATGCCAGTCAAGTTGCCCTTTGACTTCACGTTGCTCTGCAAGAGCTTACCTGCGGCCCGCGAGCTTTACCGCGCAGTGCTTGCAGGGGGCCTGCCGCAATGGCGTGCACCCCCGCACGTCGTCAGCGCTGCAGAGGCCTCGCGGACCCGAGCTCGGAAGATTGTCGTCACAGGGTCACTCGTCACAGACAACGCGCCACTTAACATCAAAATAATGCCGGTTGTTCGTTTACAATTTTCAACCAGCAGGACCGGTCCTATGCTCGTTATCAAGACGCAAAGCGTTGCAAAACCCTGTCGGCAGCGGCCGACCAGGCTGGGCGAATCGCGAGCATTTATCGTTAGATGCGACTAACGAGGCGGGCGGAAAATGTTGCGGAAATGATCACGCAGTCCGCGCGCTGTTTGGGTTTTTGCGAGATGGTCAAAACTCTGCAAATCTGTCGAGAGCCAAACAGCGGCGAAAAATAAATTTGCGAATCATAACAAAACGCGCCTCTTGTCTTCGACCAAGGGCATCGTTGCCGCCTAACAACATCGCCGAGCGAAATCGAGAGAGACCATTATTTTCCCCCGAGAGAACTGACGTGTTTTTCTTTTTTTTTCTCCCAAGGTCCGCCGAAACCTAAAGACACACCACGCTCTTGAAGTCGCACCCTCAGTGCCTCTAAGTACGCCGCAGCTTCGAGTCGTGCCAAAAATATAGCTTCGAGTTCGCGCCAAAATTGCACTTAGTATTCTCGCCAATATCGCACCGCTGCAACGTGCAGTTAATAAGAATTTACTGCATCAATTACTTTCTATTTTTTTTTTGTGTCTAATTACTTTACATATATATATATTCTTTTTTGTGCTTTGTTTTATTTCATTAAACACTTTTTGTGAACAGTATATTTTGAACATTTCTTTATTCTTTATAATATTCTGGTGTTCGTTCCACCTCACTCTAAACAAGATAGTTAACATAATTTTACATAAACTGAAATAATTCATAAAATAAAATATTTGTAATATTTCGAAGTTTATGTAAGATTATGTAAAAATTATACCTTTACAATTTTTTATAGTAAATATTGCGAGGAATCGATTTATATGAGAAAAATTAAGGTAATTCTATTTTGAAAATATAAGTGACCTTTAAATAACCTTGAAAATCGCCGTTTAAGAAAAAGTCTGTGTCAACTTTTTCTTTTTCGAAATCCTGCAACTTTTATCTAAATTTAATAGAAAATGTATAAAAAATGCTCGACATTAGTACACACACACACATACACATACACACACACACACACACATATGGGTAAATTTATATAAATAGGGTGCTTTAGGAGGAATGATGAGGATTCTAAGATATGATTGTACACATCATTTTAAGCAAAGAAGTTTAGATAAACATGTTTAATAATTGTTCTATTCCGGTCATAAAAATATACAAAAATGAATGATATAATCTCTAAAAACTCACCTTTAAAAAAAGGTAAAAAAAAGCGACCAGTTAAGGGCACGCCATTAACAAAAATTATCCATTGCAAACCCATGTAGAATCCTATCCTATTGCAAACCCATGTAGAATCCTAGGCAAAATTAACCATTGCAAACCCATGTAGAATCGTACCCATTGCAAACCTATGTAGAATCCTATGAAAAATTAACCATTGCAAACTCATGTAGAATCCTATGAAAAATTAACCATTGCAAACCCATGTAGAATTGTATTAAAAATTATCCATTGCAAACTTATGTAGAATCCTACATTGCAAACCCATGTACAATAGAATTGTATGAAAAATTATCGATTATAAACCCATGTACAATCGTAACAAAAGTAATGAAATAAAAAAAAAATGCGCCAAGTGAAAGTAGAAACTTGTACCAGTGGAAAATTAAAGTTGCAGACATATATAGAGTCGTATAATGAATCAGTAAAAATTTAAATTTGCAAATGTAGAATCGTACCATAAAAAAACTTATCTTTAAAAAAAAAAGATAAACAAGATGCCAAGTCCATGCGCCATGTGAAAAAGAAATAAAAAAATTTTAGTTAAAAAAACTGGGAGCGCTGCTAAATAATATTCTAACAATATTAAAATTAAATTGTTACTTTTAAACTCATTACAGTTAAAATATGTTTTGTGTTTAAATTAATTAATGTTACTTTAAGGTGCATTGTAATTTTGAAACTTAGCAGCGCGCCCAGTTTTTTTAACTAAAATTTTTTTATTTCTTTTTCACATGGCGCATGGACTTGGCATCTTGTTTATCTTTTTTTTTAAAAGATAAGTTTTTTTATGGTACGATTCTACATTTGCAAATTTAAATTTTTACTGATTCATTATACGACTCTATATATGTCTGCAACTTTAATTTTCCACTGGTACAAGTTTCTACTTTCACTTGGCGCATTTTTTTTTTTATTTCATTACTTTTGTTACGATTGTACATGGGTTTATAATCGATAATTTTTCATACAATTCTATTGTACATGGGTTTGCAATGTAGGATTCTACATAAGTTTGCAATGGATAATTTTTAATACAATTCTACATGGGTTTGCAATGGTTAATTTTTCATAGGATTCTACATGAGTTTGCAATGGTTAATTTTTCATAGGATTCTACATAGGTTTGCAATGGGTACGATTCTACATGGGTTTGCAATGGTTAATTTTGCCTAGGATTCTACATGGGTTTGCAATGATTAATTTTTCATAGGATTCTACATGGGTTTGCAATAGGATAGGATTCTACATGGGTTTGCAATGGATAATTTTTGTTAATGGCGTGCCCTTAACTGGTCGCCTTTTTTTACCTTTTTTAAAGGTGAGTTTTTAGTTATATATTTACATGGGATTACACTCATAAACTAGAGGCTAAAGCTCAACACGCATGATAAGCAACGACACGATCTCTGTTAGTGTGCCATCTAGATAAATGTATCAAGAGGCGCGCAAGGAATATCGACTCTCTTATCCCGCCACTTCCTTTTCGAACGTGGCGCAATAAAGTCTTGTCAAACTGATTCTCGTGCACGTGTCGTAATAAATTATTTAATCCGCTTTCATCTCCTCTATCAGTATCATAAAGATATTTTTTCTTTTTCCGAATTCTTTTTCTTTCAGGATCTGATGTCAAATCTGATGTGTCTTCTGCTGTACACGTCTTTGCTCTTGCTTTTACTAAATCATCTATAACAAAAGAATGCAATATATAGTATGCGTAATAATTATTAAATACTTATAAAACAAAAATAAATATGACTACTAAATGTTTTATAATAAATTAATTCTTTAAATATCACTTACTATAGGTACGTCCACTTCCCACTTTTCGAATTTTAAATAATGGCCATACACCGAATACTGGTTTTTCACATACTGCGACAGAATGAATTAATTTTTTGCCAGTGCATGGTGGCCAATAACACATATCATCATGCACCCATGCGACCAGTACAGCTTCGACTAAATTTTCTTCTATAAAATGTATTACTATCCACTCCATTGGGCAACTATATATCTTATATTATTCTTATTGTTAGTCTGAAGTCAAAATAATTACAAAACTCTTTTCATTCTCATTTGGTTAACAAAGTTTAACATGCAACACACTTAATAATACTTAATATACTATAACTAATTATATAATATTTAATATAGATTTCTTCTCAATATCGTATTTACATAAGATATATACATATAATTACATGTATATATACATATATATATATATATATATATATATATATATATACACATTTACACATTTATATTATTAACATAATGTATGAAGGAGAGGAAACAACATAAGTATTATTATATGGGAAAATTATCATTTTGTTGGAAATATCTTCCACTAGTGACATAGATAATTCTCCGAGTTCATGTACTGAAAATATATCAAAATTTGAAGATTGAAATGGTTCAGAAATAAAACTTGTTATATTAATAAATTTTTTCCCAATTAAGTAGTACTTATTATCTTTTATAGCAAAATTTTCTATTAACATAATACTCTTATCTTTTAAATAACAGAAATTATCTTTAAAATGTGTACCAAACGACACATTATTTATAATCAATTTTTAAATTGAGCAGAAAAATGTGTCATAGGTAAAGGACCTTCATGATGTTCTAGTACCATTTGCAATTTTATTTTTTTTGACAGTTTAGTTATCAATATATTTTGTGACTCATGAATACGCTTTACAAGTTGTGCTAATGGATAATGAGATTTTCTAACTAATCGTTTTAGATATTGCATGTAATTTTCAAAAGGAAATGCACTATAAAGATCTAAAGGTCCAAAAACTTTGCAATCATCAACAACATGAATTAATCCATGTACATTGTGTGAAATGTATTCTGCTCCATAAATGACTTTAAATTGTTTCACAAAAAATATTAATAATGAACATGCTTATTCTAAATACTTTGTATATAAATTAGCATTAATTAAAATTCTAACAGCAATATGTGAAGATATAAAATGTAAGTATTTATCAGATGAAAGGATATTTTTTAAAACAACTGGACCACAATACAATAAAAAAAATCTAAATTCAGTTGCTTTCCAGCGTGCAGCTTCATTTAAAGACCGGGTTTTTCTTACAAAATCAGGAGGAATACAAGATTTTATTTCAATGAGATAACTTGAAATAGATTGTATGTTGGTTTTTGATAATCTATGTGAAATAGGTCCAAAGAGCCATATATTTATTAGTTTTTTTACTACGCCAAGGCATACTAAATGCATGTATTCAAGAGGGAAACTTTTTACCATGTTAATCGAAGGTATTGTTTCTAAAATTGATGTTCCTGTATGATGTTCAGATTGAACTCTATTACAGAAATTTTAATCCGTTCTTTCAAAATAATTTATTTCAGGATAACACACTCTGGCTTTTATATATTTTCCTCTTTGCATACATTTAGTACCTGCAAAAAATCCAGTGTGACCTTTGCAAGAAGTAATGAGTGATTTTGCTGGAGCATCACATATAAATGCTTTAATTGCACACAAATGGTATAGCATAATTATTATAAATAAAACCATCTTCCGATAACTTTATAGCTTCATCTGTAAAATCTTGTAAAAACAAATTAACATTATTAGGTTTTTCATAACCATGATAGATACCTATCACAGATATATATTGTGGATATTCAGATATTGAGTATAATATTGGATATATCTGACTACTGGAACTTTTGCTTAAAGGCAAACCATCAATATTAATAAACAAATTAATTTTTTCTGGCTGTTTTTCTAACAAATTAATTAAATTTTGAACTGCAAATTGAATTCCCATGTGTACATAAGTGCCTGAACCTACAGATTTGTAGGGTACATGTCGAGGTGTACAAAGTAAAGTTCTGGGATCTTGAGGCAAAGAATTATTTGTTTCTAATTTTAATAAATTTAATAAACTTTGTAAGGCGTTATGTGAAATATTATATGATATTGCCCATGATCGTAATTTATTAATAAAATTATTACTTTGATTATGTAAATTTTGATTTTCTATATTTTGTTGTGATATTGGAGTATCATTTTTAATAACATTATCAGAGTTATCAGAAGATAAGCTATATAAGTCATGTAAAACATTAAAGCAATCTGTATTAAAACAGTCCTCTGTTTTATAAGTACTATTACATTGGAAATCTGTATTTTTTGTAATTAAAACATTATCATTTATACAATCATATTTAGAATTATTACAATTCTCCTGTGATAATGTAAAACATGTTGCGCTTTCTCTTTTAACATTTCTATAAAAAGTCGCTTTACTACGACGTTTCATTATATTTGTTCTTGGAAAAATTAATGTGGGATTTTTAATGATAAATTAATTGTTAAAAGAGCTTGTAAGAAATCAAAGGTTAGAAAATCTATCACTGTAAACAAATAATACAACGTGAGGAAATGATAATAATATTTATTGTTTTTGATAACAATTAATATTTACTTACTTTCTCAATAAGAGCTTCTTTTTCTGTACAAGCTTACACACTTTTTATTTATCGTACACTATATACTATGAACGGACTCAACGGACTGTATGTACTTAATAATAAAAGCGGAAAAGAGATAATGAATAATTGCTCCTTCTTCTGTAATTTCTGAACGCCATCTACATCTTAAATACATTTGAATATTCTGTGAACATTTATGGAATATAAACAATATATTCTTATAGCTGATTTTAACATGTTCTAGGTAGATTTATAGATTATTCTTTATAAACAAGGATATTCTATAGAGATGTATAGATGATTTCTTTGAGAATATTCTCAAAAAAATATTTTTGATGCTACATAGAATATTCATGCAATATTGTGTGTTATCTGGGAATAAAATTTAAATTAATCAAAAATTATAAAAATAAACTTGAAAGTTAAAACAAATGAGTAAGCGAACGTTTCGATCCAATTTTTCGGATCTTCTTCAGCGCAGTACAAAAAGCAAAATTAAAATCACCAAAGTCTAAATATTTTTAACGTATAAACGTCTAATAAACATATTTAAACGCGGTTACATCAGTAAACGAAATAAAACGTCGTAAGATTAACATTAATATGACTCTCACTGAGCCATCACATTTACGTTACTGTGAGAAGCGATCTTCTCTAGTTTTCTGACTAAAACGAGGTTGGCAGGTGTTAAAATATAAAATATTAATCGCATCCTATAAATCAAAATAATTTTCTCATTACACCTCACTAATTATAATATCCAAAATCAAGTGCGTTATAAAACAATAATCTAACACATGGTATAAAAAAATGCTAATAAAAACTTACATATATTTATGATGTGACAATATTTTAATTGTAACAGTAACAAAAGTGACGCTAGTGTAATCCTCATGTCAGTAGAACGGCTCAGAGGAAACTGAAGCTCAGTTGGAAACGAAAAATTACAAACAATTATAATCATTTTGTATTTGTTATTTAATCTTAGAATTTAGGTAGTCTCTCTATAGCTTCGATATAAATATCAGATAGATTTTCAGTATTAGTCTGTAGATTGAGACTATTATTTTGTCTTTTTATGTATATCATTTCTGATACTGATCTTTTTCCGTAATATATTTCTTTATCTAAAATATTAATGTTCTTCCAATCAAATTCATGATTAAAATTAACGCGGTGGTCCGTTATTACTGATTTAGTATTAATATTTCTAACTATGTGTTTCTTATGTTCAGAAATTCTTGTGGTCAGTCTTCTATTAGTCTGGCCCACGTAAGAAGCGTCGCAGTTTGAACAATTAATTTTGTAAACAACGTTGGTATTATTCAAGATGTAAAAATCTCTGAAGTCACCAGATGATAATTAAAAATGGTAGTAATTTAATCAACCAACTCTGGCTATTTAATAATCTTTATTTAATATTTACGACGTTTCGGCCATGGGTTTCGGCCCTTATCAAGTGCTAAAACACAACTTTTATATAGAAACTTAATTTCTGATCTTAAAATGTGACATGATATAATGTGAAACATTTAACTATGTTGGTATTATTCATTTTAGAAATAGTATCTTTATGTACTCGTATATATTTATTTAATTTATTAAAATAAAAAAAAAATAATTTAAAATTCATGTTCCTAATAATATTTCTAAATTGTTCCGTCAAACCGGGTAAAAACGGTATTGTTCGCGAACTCAGTAAAATACTAAAGAGAGAGAGAGCGCGGGAATACCGGCGCACGTGGTCGGGAAAAGATGGTGGTTTTACGCGGCGACAATAGACGAGGCGGGGAAATAAATCACTCGCGCTTCGTAACAGTCAATGGTCTTTTTTATTCCGCACAATCACAAATGTACACAACTAATTCGTCACGATAGACAGAAAATTAATATACGAGATATAATACGATGACTTGAACGACTTATTATTTGATACGTTACTGAGAGCGATACAGAACACGTGTACACTGACTCAAGGATTACTCCAGAATGCTTCCTTCTTCCTCGTCACTACGGAAGTGACGGGACGACCGCGCTAATCAGATATCGATCTAAACGGAAATCAATATGATTGCTATCAATCGATGCTCTGAGCGACGCCGCGATCTCAGAGATGGCGCGTGCATGTCGGTTCGCACGCTCGGCAACACACTCGCACGAACATACCGCTCGCCTCGCTTATTTAATAAGCGACAGAAACAATTTATAATAAACTAATGATTAGTCACATCAGTTGACTAGGATAAATGCTAATTTACATTTTAATGTTATACATAAATGTAATTAATCTACACTTAATCTATAGATATCACAGACGCGAAATATCGGGCGTTGGGCGCCGCCCGCCGTAAGGTATGATACCCAAAAAAAAAAAAAAAAACAAAACACAAAAAAAAGAAATGGAACTACAGATTGTGATCCTTTTCGTCTCGATCAGCGATCGGAAGGAGACACAATTTGTGGATCGGTCGTCGAAAGGTAGAGGTAGCAGTCCTCACCTCGCAAACGCGGATCAACCCATCTTCACTCGGGAAGCACTGTGTTATACGCCCTAATTCCCATCTAGAGGGTGGAGCATTGTCATCCTTAATGATGACAATATCACCCACGTTTAAATTTGCGCGCTGATTGTGCCATTTATTGCGCTTCTGCAGAGAGTTAAGAAAATCCAAGCGCCAAACCTGCCAAAATCGGTCTCGCATCCGCTGAACGAGTTGATATCTCGTCAATCTCGATTCCGGACGATCTAGTAGCGAAGCATCAGGCAACGCAAGAAGTGGAGCGCCGGTCAAGAAGTGACCGGGAGTCAAATACGATAGATCGTCTGGGGAATTCGAGAGTCCAGCGATCGGTCGCGAATTTAGGCAGGCCTCTATTTGACACAACAGTGTCTCTAATTCGGCAATGGTTAGCGTATGTACGCCAACTATACGCTTTAAGTGGTGCTTGACCGACTTTACTCCAGCTTCCCAAATCCCGCCAAAGTGTGGAGCGGAGGCTGGAATAAAGCGCCATTCTATGCCTAACGAGGCCATAGATGATTCGACGGCACCATCGCACATACTAGCGTGAAAAATACGGTATAATTCCGTCTGCGCGCCACGGAAATTGGTTCCGTTATCGCTTAATACAATCGCAGGAATACCGCGGCGTGAACAAAATCGTCGAAAGGCGGCGATGAATGCTGCGGAAGACAGATCGGTAACGAGTTCTATGTGCACGGCACGGGTTATCAAGCACACGAAAAGGGCTATATAGGCCTTACGGGATTGATGACCACGTCCGGCGAAGGCGCGCACTGGCAAGGGTCCGGCATAATCTACCCCGACTTTCAAAAACGGACGCGCCACATTAGTTCGTATCTCGGGCAAATGAGCCATTTTCTGACTGCTCAAATTTGCACGATGTCGAGAGCAGATGACACACTGACACATCGTGAGCACAATGCGATATCGATTATCTCGATCGTACAATTATTTTGCTCGGAGTATCCAGTACTCCTCTCGGAGTAGACGTAATGTTAACGACGTTCCCCCATGGAGAGTGCGTAAATGTGCATCACGCACTATTATACGCGTCAGAGGAGTTTGGCTCAGGATTACTGGATGCTTCTGAGCGAATGTCAATGGAGCGTGCATCAATCTGCCTCCCATACGAATAATTCCGTCATCATCAATGAACGGATCCAAAGAAAGTAGCGAACTCGAACGTGGCAATCTTTGCTCGGCTCGCAATAAATGAAGTTCGGTCGCATATAACGACGACTGTATGACCTTGATCCAAAAGGTTTTGGCTTCCGTCATCAACCGCGTAGTGTATAAAAGTTCCGTACATGGAAGCTGTCGTCGTGTCAGTTTCACGAAGCGTAAAATTAACGCAGTTATCTTGAGCAGTTTGCTCCAATCAGAATAGCGAGTGGACAGATCCCACTCGGAGACATTGGTGACGTGAGTGACGACTGACCGTGCCTCAAGGTCAGAAGTCGGCAGACTATCAGAAGAGTCGACAGAGGGCCACTCTTGGGGCTCACAGGAGAGCCACGAGGGCCCGTACCACCATAGTGGATTTTTGATCAATTGAGTCGGAGAGACTCCACGAGAAGCTAAGTCCGCAGGGTTGTCCTGCGTAGGAACATGACGCCAACTTGCCTGAGGACATTGCGTTTGGATGAGAGACACCCGATTCGCCACGAATACTTTCCATGTGGCCGGAGACTTGCTAAGCCAGGCCAATGCGACGGTGGAATCCGTCCAAGCGTAAATGGGGACCTGCTCAAGATTCAACGCAGAAATGGTCCAAGCAAGGAGCCGTGATAAGAGTTCGGCCGCACAGAGCTCCAAACGAGGAACCGAGACCGTTTTCAACGGAGCAACCTTGCTCTTACTTGTTAGCAAGAAAACTTGTGGCTCGAATTTATGGATCACTCGAAGGTAGATCACGGCTGCGTAAGCGGCCTGGGACGCATCCGCGAACCCATGGATCTCGATACTTGAGTCCTCGCGGGAGTGCACCCAGCGCGGGATACAAACAGTAGCAAGCGAGATGAGTCCGTGGCAAAAAGAGATGCACCTTTCATTCAGGTCCGACGGTAGTGTCGTGTCCCAGTCGATCCTAGACAGCCACAATTGTTGAATAAGGATCTTACCGATAATAATGACAGGCGACAACCAACCTAATGGATCGTAGATTCTCGATATATACGAGAGAAAGGTGCGTTTTGTTATATGCGACGGAACTTCTGCACAAATACGAAAACTAAAAGCATCCTCCAATGGTGCCCAATATATGCCAAGGATTTTTAATTGATCATCCTCTTTAAAATCTACGTTTTGTGCAGGATCGCGAATCGTTTCGGATAAATCGGAGATTAAATCCGGACAATTGGAACTCCATTTGTGTAGAGGAAACCCGCCCGCGTTGGTCAGTCCTATCATCTGCTCTCGAATCTCGCGACATTCTTCTATCTCCGACGCGCCAAAAAATATATCGTCAACATATGAATTGAATATGACGTTATGCGCAGCCAGAGGGAAACGATGCTTCTCGTCCTCTGCTAACTGCCGCAAGACGCGCAATGCTAAAAAGGGCGCAGGAGCGGTGCCGTAAGTTACCGTCCGTAACCGATACGGAATTACCGCGTCTTTCTCCGATTGCCTCCAGAGAATTAATTGAAAACGCGTATGATCATCGTGCACGCGAATTTGCCGAAACATCTTCGCAATATCGGCGGCACACACAAACCGGTGCCAGCGCCAACGTAACAAAATGGCACATAGATCAGTCTGCAATTTTGGTCCAATAAGGAGGCAGTCGTTGAGAGACTTTCCATTGCCAGTGCGCGCAGACGCGTTAAATACAACCCTTACCTTCGTCGAAGTGCTACTTGGCTTTAATACCGGATGATGCGGTATAAAGCATCGCTGCTCCTCGACATCCGTGGGCGTATACGGACTCATATGTCCTAATCTTAAATATTCATTTAAGAAATCATTATATTCGACAGCTAACTGTCGATCCTTTTTCAAACGACGCTCCAAAGACGCATACATACGGAGCGAATTTTTGTGAGAATCCCCAATATCAATTGGAAGATTCCCCTTAAACGGCAACGCGACATTGTACCTTCCTGACGTATCACGATTAGTAGTCGCGACGAAGAGGTCCTCGCAATATTGATCCTCAGCGGATAACTGGGTCTGCGAAGGAATCTCCTCAACCTCCCAAAAGCGCTCGATCGCACGAGTCAAATCAGTATTAGGGGTCACGTGTAATGACGAAATAGTCGTATGCGACGACGATACATTGACAGGACCGTCGTCCACCGGACCGCGCAGCACCCACCCGAATCGCGAATGAATAGCATACGGCTCTCCGGGAAACTTCACCCGATCCTGAAGTATTATTTCGTCATAACAATCGGCACCGAGTATTAAGTCGATCGGCTTATCACTGCAGGGGTCGGGGTCGGCCAATGTCAGTTGTCCGACGCCGGTCCACTCAGAGGCCTTAACAAATCGTCGCGGAACATAATTAGAAAGCCGAGATAAAATAAGAGGCTCGATCACGACTACAAGCTGAGACTTATTTCGTGATCGTAGCTCAACGCGGGTGGAGTGCTTCACGACCCCGGAGACGGTGGCGCCAGTACCTGAAATTGAAGCAGAGCACGCAATTCTTTGCACGCGTAACGCTTGAGCAGCTGCTTCAGATATTAACGAGCACTCGGAGCCAGAATCTATGACTGCGCGAAATGGCAGTTCACGACCTTCAGCCGTACGCACGTGTACCCACGCTGTCGCAATTAACACCGGCCTTAACGTTTTTGACTTGGCGACTCCCGAATGACAGGAAGTTACATTAGATAACTTCGCGTGATCGTTACTCGAAACGGAAGTAACCGCGTTACTGTTTATTGACTCGGGATCCGATGTACGCGGTGAGAATGCTTGATGAAGCATTTTATGATGCCGCTTCTTACACTTATCGCAACCCGGTTTGTTTTTACAGCTCGGCGGAAAATGACCTTTAGCGAGACAATTAAAGCATAAATGCGCCGCTCGGGCGGAATCTAAACGTTCGCTCGCAGACATGACCTTGAATTTCGCGCACTTCGATATGTTATGAGCCGCGGAGCACAAATGACAAACAGAAGTATTGGTGTTCGCAACGTGCGAAGTGACCTTAGAGTCAACACCGTTTTTATGTTTTGAATTTTTCGTTACGGCATTGTCGTTCAGGCATGTGACTCCGCTTTTAATCGACGCAACATTTAAAGCGTGTATTTTACCGTTCAGAAATTGCTCAAGTTCGTCATAATTTGGAAATGTTTCTCTTTTACCGATGTTCTCTTCCCAACTCTTTCGAATCGTCGGGTCCAGACGCATAAGCGTCATAACAACTAATATGGAATCCCACGATAATTGATTCAAGTTTTCGAGAGAGACAAGTATTTCGCGAGTTTGATTAACTAGAGTCTCTAACGCGGCCGGACTATCGCCGCTTACGGGCCTAAGTTTTAATAACCGAACTATAAGAGAAAAAGTCAAAACTTGAATATCTTGATAATGATCATTAATTAATTTCCAAGCCGATTCGAAATTTGCATCGGTAATCGGTAAATTTTTAATCAACGACAATGCCGTACCGGTCAAACAACTTTTAAGATAATAAAACTTCTGTACGTTAGACAGTCCAGACTCACGGACGACCATCGAGTCAAACATGTCTCGAAAGTGGGCCCAGTCCTTCTGATCTCCGTTGAAGGTCGGCAGAGGGATGCGCTCGAGACTGGTGAACCTCGAAGTCGACGATGCGTCGGCAGCGTCCCTCCTAATTGACGATGTCGAAGGCATGTTGCTCTGCAAGGCGGTGAGCGCGTCCGTCGCATCAAGAACTCGATCCTCCATGTCACCAAATTCGGTACCTTTGAGATAGTCACTGACGTCCGGATCAATCGAATATGCCGTTAACTCCTCGTGATTGCATCGACATTTGGCCCATAGCTGCGTTAACGTTTGGAGTTTCGTCGAGACTGTAATGGAGGCGGACGTTTCAGTGAGCCTCACAGCCGAATTGCACGTGCGATGAATAGATCGCAAATATTCTCTTTGTACAACGAGCAACGCTATAATGCTGCCCTGAGAACGAGTACGATTTCTCGATTGGTCCGTCGGTAACTTGAGCGTATCTCCAGGCATGATGACGTCACAGTTTATCACTTCACGGCCGAAGAAAAAAAGAATAAGTTAATTCTTCAATAATTATTTACAACGTGATAGATTATCACAAGAGAGTGACTAGCGGATCTAATAAACAACAGTCTCGAACAATCGTAATGACTGGAGTCACTTATCAATCCGATAATTATCACAAGAACGACGAACGAATCCCGAAAGCGATAGATTCGGAATATCGCACTAAACTGAGTCAAATTATCACTCCGATAAATTGTCAACAAGAACGACGAACGAATCGCGATAACTATAGATTCGAATCGTCGTACGAAGTGGAGTCAAATTATCACTCCGAAAAAATTGTCAAAAAGAACGTTGAACGAATCGCGAAAACTATAGATTCGAATCGTCGCACGAAATGGAGTCAAATTATCACTCCGAAAAAATTGTCAAAAAGATCGTCGAACTAATCGCGAAACTATAGATTCGAATCGTCGCACGAAATGGAGAAAAATTATCACTCCGAAAAAATTGTCAAAAAAGAACGTCGAACGAATCGCATAAGAGATAGATTCGAAGTGTCGCACTAAATGGAGTAAAATTATAACTCCGATAAATTGTCAATAAGAACGATGAACAAATCGCATAGTCGATAGATTCGGAGTAACGCACTAAACGAAGTCAATTATCACTCCGATAAATTGTCA